GACCTTTCTTTTGATAACCCATATCTAATAGCAGGCTTTTTTAAGTATAGCAATAATCAACAATGCTTCTAACATATGGTTCCAAAAGGAAGATGATGAAGTCAAAAAACTTTATGATCATTGTTTTAGATCCCTGGATAAGTTGAACTGATATTGGTAAAATCTCAGAATCAGTGTATTTCTCTTTGTTTTTGACACTTCTGCACTGTATTAGCTTCTACTTATAACTTTCTTTTTATGATTGTTCTTCTTCGTTTGAATTCAAAAAGAGCTGTTTTGCTTTCCATCTCATCTACTTATCTGCTCTGCTTTACTTTTTGGTATTGTGAAAAATAATAAATGATTTTGATGTTTGTTTCAGCTCTACACAGAGTATTGGTCTGCTATCTTACACTTTCTTGAGGAGCACAGGAAAGGAAGATATTATAGTGCCTATGGTAATAATATATTTTTCTGACAATTTTCTGCATCTCTATCTTGGTTGTATTGGAATTGTGTCTGTAAAGACTAAATACAAGGTGTATATGTATCACAAGGTTTATACCCATAGATAAAGCCCTGAATTTGAGTTGGCCTCATTTTCAGTGTGCAAGTTGGAGCTGCAAATGCAAGTCTATGTGCTATTTTGTCATTTTTTTTCTTCCTTCTCTATAATTTAAATTACTAATACATTCTTGTCCCCACTGTAACCTTTTGATCCATCATCTCATTCCAGATTGTGCTGGATGTGGTATGGTATACTGGTTAGGTCCTAGAAATGCTATCTTAAATTGGATGGTAAATACTTCATTCTGTGTCTTTTGGACTATGAACAGAGTATTCTGTGATCAGTTTAAAAGTGAATATTTGGATCATTATTACCTGAAACCGGAGATCAGGAAGGGGAAACAAGTAACAAGTGTGGCATCATATTTCATTGTTTCTTCATTATTGATTGTAGTCCATTTATTTTCTTGTAGTTGTCAGGTTAGTTTATCTGTGCCCAGGTTTTGTATTCACAATGATTTTGTTTTCTGGTTTGAAATGAAAAGCTTGACTATGAAAGACGGCAACAAGAATGGAGCAAAATTGTACGATCTTCTCTCAGTGACTGGGACAGAAACATGGAAACAATTGTACAATGGTCTCCATTCTCCAGTGAAAGAGACCTCCTTTGCCAGGTAATTTCTTATTCTGTAATTTCTTATCTCCTTTTTGTTGCTATTCTCATTATTGATTTTATTAGAAAAGTTGTGTTTTTCTACTTGTAGTTTGATCTGATAAAAGATCACGGTACACGAATAATTATATACAATCTATGGGAGGATGATGAAGGACTCTCTGAACTTGATTTTGATGCTGATCCACATGTAAGTCTCAAGTGTCTTAGAGTATTGATTTATGAATTATTTGTTTCTTTTTTAAAATTGATATGTGATAAATATGATTCCAGACAGAGTTTGTCCATTTAATGTCATTTCCAGGACATCCAACTTCGAGGTGTGAACCGTGATGAGAAGAAAATTAAAATGGCAAAAGAGTTCCCCAACTCTCGGCACTTTCTAACATATAGACATTCTTTGAGGGTAACATTGCAGTTTGCAGGATTTTCTTCTGTTTGAATGAAATAGTGGTTTTTTTTTTTTTTTTTTTTTTTTTTTTTTTTTCATTTTGCTCTTTTTTGTTGACATTGAATAAGACATTTATATTGGCATTTGTTCAATCACTTAACATGTAGAGGTTATATTTGTAGCAGCTTCTTCTTCTTCTTCTTAATTTGTTTCTTTTGTGGGTAAACAATTAAGTGATATATTTACTGATACAGATTCTGTTTGTTGAAATAGGATGCATGTGATTGATCTCTTATGAAACAAATATGTCTGTTTATAATTATAGCATATTTGATTATCAACTGTTAAAAACTTGAAGAAGGCTCTGGGAGTTATGGCCTTTCTATTCAGTTACCTTTCAAAGAAATAACCAAGAAATGGAAGTGATCAAACAACTGGACAAATGTGAGGGTTAAATGTTTCTTTTTATCTAAGGATGCATGAAAGTAACATTTTATGTCAACTTATTGAGAAGTGGCCATTATATTTTGGATGTATGAACCTTCTGAGAATTTTGGGGAGTGATTTTTACTTTCTTGTGGTGTTCCCTTAGCTTACATGAGCAGGATATCTTTGCTGCTTTAATTTTTTGAATTTATTTGTTGCTCCTTGTCAATCTACAGAGCTATGCATCTATACTTTATTTGAGACTCCCTTCAAACTTCCGAATCATTCTTCGAGGGAAAGATGTGGAGCACCACAACATAGTTAATGATATGATGCTGGCAGAGAGGGTCACATATCGGCCACAGGACAGTGCTGATGGGGTCCCTAAGGATTCAAATGTAATTTTTTATTTTTAATAAATAATTAGACTGTGACCTGTTATTACGTATTACTGTATGTTATTAAATGCTGATTGATTAAGTTGTCATCAGATGGCTGCTGTCGTAACCATTGGTTTTGTAAAAGACGCCAAATTTCACATTGACGTTCAAGGTTTCAATGTTTATCACAAAAATCGACTTATCAAGGTTTGCTTTCCATTGCTTTGGAAAATGCATACCATAGATTGTAATAATCTTTTGTTATTCCCCATTTTATGAGTATGCTAATTGTCAATTTCTCTCTTTTTTTTTTGGTTGTCTTCTGGTTTTATCTTTTCTGTGTTTGGTTTGTTCTCTGCTTTAAATCAGGATATTATCTCTTGATAGGGTATACTAATTGATAATTTCAACTTTATCAGTTGCTAAGTTTTATTGTATCAGGAACTTATCATTCTGATTATCATTTATTATTATTTTTTTCGTTCAGTTTTGATATTGTTTTGTAGGCATTCTTGGCTGATGCTTTTTTTTTCCCCCTTCTTTTCTAGCCATTTTGGAGGGTCTGGAATGCCGCTGGGAGTGGTGGACGTGGAATTATAGGTGTTGTGTTCTTCATCACTTGAATCCCTTTGTTTGTGTTGGCCAATCTGAGTTAGCTTCTAAATGCACTCTATTATCCTGTTGACAGGTGTCCTGGAAGCTAATTTTGTTGAACCAGCTCATGATAAGCAGGGGTTTGAGCGTACAAAAGTTCTTTCAAGACTTGAAGCTCGGTTGATACAAATGCAGAAGACTTACTGGTTTGTTGTTTCATTTTGTGTTGTGTGTGTGTGTGTGTGTTTTTGCTTTTTTAACTTCTACAGATCATTGTTTCTAGATCCTGCAACATATTTCTGGGAGCAATTCATTACTAATACCTGACTGCTTCATATAGGAACAAAAAACGCCATAAAATTGGCTATGCCTCAAATCACAATGCTAAACAAAAAAATCAGTCTTCAGACAGAGGTACATTATGGAACCTGTTATTCTTGTTATTTGCTCATCATTCTTGGTAGTTACATTGATGTAAAGTCATTATCTAGTTGTTTCTAACAGTTATCTCATAATCTCTAGAATGTTCTTTGGAGAATGATCCACAAAGATCTTTCCAGTCTAAAGACCAGGGTTCTCCTTGCAGCATGAGAAATTCTTCTCAATCTGTAGGCAAGGTTTATACTGGAAGCAGGTTACGATCTGAAGGACAACCTGAAACAGTAACCGCTAAATGTGGGGGTGGATTTGCATTGAACAAAGCTGATGCTCAGACAAAAACCTTAATTAGGTCTGGAAAAGCAGCAAATTCTTTTGAAACATTGTCACCTTTGGTGAAAAATGTTAGCAAAGAAGTATATATTGCTTTACCTGCACGAGAAGCTAATGGCAGTAGTCAAAAGACTTCTACTAAGAAAAGTAACAAACAGTGTGCAGTATATGGTAGTGAACACCAGCAAAATTTTAAGAAAAGTGGAAGGACTGTTCAACCGGTAATAGTATCTCAGTCAAAGGTTATTTCTATGCTTTATATAATATATATATATAGATATATATGTTCACTCTCTGTTTTCCATTACTTTGTTAACTTTCAGCTGCTGCAGCCAAAAAAAATTGCATCACTATTTTTCAAATAACAGAGTATTGATGTCCAAAATAATAATAATAATAATAAAATACCATGGTATTCCTAATGGCTTTTGTTCAATTTGCAGGAAGGTAATCTTAATGGTTTTGAGCATCCTCTTTCAAAAACTGATTCAGGTACTTTGGAGCAGTTGAAACAAGAGAATCGTGAATTAAGAGACAGGTGTAGATCTCTTGAAAGTGAGGTACGCTCTGCCCTTTTCACCAACTTGCAAGTAGAAGATAGTCCATCTCTGTGACATCTGATTTGGGGATCTCTGTTAGATACTAAACATTGTAGGATATTTTAGCCACATTCTGCTTCTGATTTTTTATCTTTTAAATCCTTGTTCTGAGTAGCTCAAAGCAGCAGATGATAAGGTTGAAGAACTGAACCAGGAACAGGAAAGCCTCATTGAAATATTTTCAGAGGAGAGGGATAGAAGGAATAAGGAGGAGGAGAACTTGAGGAAGAAGCTAAAGGTTATCTTCTATTAGCCTGTCTTCTCATGTTGAATTTTTTGAAATTTTCATCGTTCCCATTTATTTCTAGGATATCTCATTGATGCGAAATACTATCGTGCCTGTAGGAAGCATCTAACACCATCCAAGAGTTGCTTGAAAAAATTAAGACACTGGAGAAGTGGAAGTCTCTAAATGGCAAACCGCTATGTTAGGAGTTGCTTGAAAAAATTAACACCACCAATTATATCGACATCTATTTTGTTTTGTACTGGTATCGGTGCCAGACTGCTGCCAGTTTTTGGATCAGAATGTGATTTTGCTGTCTGGACTGTGAAACCAAGACATCATATGTGGAGGGCTTGCCTTACATTTAGAGGCTCACTCTCATCTAATGGCAAGTTTTTGTGCAGTTCAATGTAGCCCGGATTACACAATATTTCTGATTGTAAATGTATGTAGTCATTAGTGGGTTCTGGCTCCGATGGTAGTTCTTCCAGTGTAAATGTTAAAGATGTTCACAGCAGTGCAGGAAATTGAGAAGAATTAAATGATAAATGTTGCATTTTGTTATGGCTCCCCATTTATCTTGTGTCTGCCTTGCTTCCTTACTCTTGCTTAGCCTTGCCTTCCAATTAATGCGTATATAACTTATGTTTATATACAAAGTAGTTGCTAGTACTCATCTTAACTGCATCTAATGTTGCAAAAACCAAATTTAATAAACAAATTATTTATAAACAAGTCAAATATGCCAAGTATTTTATGGTACAATTTAACAATGGTTAAGGGTAGAATCCAAAAATGCATAATTTAATCATATATCAATAATTGTATTAATCCTAAAAAAAAAAAAAAAAGGGATTGTGATATTGTGGGATGAAGGTACTAATAATAAAGTCTTTTCCTTTTTTAGTGAAAGGTTGAACGTGCGAAAGATCTAAAGGGGAACACAAGGAGATTGCTAATTAAAGGAGTTACAGGGGGTTTACACACACCAAAAAAAAAAAAAGTTGGGACCCAATTGGTCCTCCAAGAAAAGGTCGTTTGGACCTTTTTGAAAACCGAATGTATGTTTAGAAACAAATTTAATAATATCAAACCTTTTCAAAATTTCAAAGGTTTCAATGGCCCAAAAAAAAAAAAAAAAAAAAATCAAAGGTAAGCCGTTGTGTGGCATACAGTACTATTGCTGGTGCTGGTATAAAGGACAGATAGGGTTGTGGTGAGAAGAGATGAGTACTTTCGTGTCTGAGGCAAAAGAGCAAAAGCTTTAAAAACAGCAGGCTGGCCTGATGTTTGACCAGTGAGAAAAGCAAAAAAACATCACCTGCGTGGGCATTTATGATCGATCGGGGGCACTTAGCTGAAAACAGTTTGTAGCTTATTTTGATTCTATTTTGCAAAGATGAGGAAAGGCACGTGTTTGCTTATTCTTCACGTCCCCGTGTTCATCCCATTCCCAAAGTATATTATGTTTTCTTTGGGACATTTTGTTTTGTTTCCATTTTGGTGTTTCATTTAATTTGATGTCAACCCTTATTTTATTTGTTGAAAAATGAAGTGGTTTATGGCCACACTCTATCAGTGTTATGGGTCTTATGACAAGACAAATATTATTATTTTTTTAATAAATGATTAGTTATGATATTAAAAAATATTAATTTATATTTTAAATTTAATATGTTAAGTAATAAATCATAACAGTCTTATCATTTATTAATTAATAATTATAATTATTAATTATTTTTAATAATTAAATTAAATTGAGTTAATATTTTTAAAAATAATATATAATAATTTATGTAATCTTAACAATTTTAAATATAACTATAACTATTGCTTGAATATACTCTTACAGTTCACTTGTTCTTTTATTCGTTTTTTCTGACCAATATATAGGTTCCATTGATGATGTAGGTGCCATGTCATTTAAAATTTTATCAGGTCATTGCATACATAATGGCCTTATAGGCAAAATTAAGCCATGCTTGATGGATTTTAACGTGCATGTGACCTGCTACTGATTAACTTTTGGAGTTTTTTTTTTATAAGTTTTGAGTTATGTACCGTGTTAATTAGAAATGAAAATTTTATCAATTACTAAAAACATTAATATAAAAAGTACAAATAAGAGGTTTGATTTTTTTTTTTTTTATAATGTAGGGAATTAGATTGATTTATAGGGTGCATTGCATGAATTTGAACTCTAATCTTAATCATTTCCCTCATTTACGTGCTGGTTCAAATCATATATTCATAAATACTATAATAGTGCCTTATAGAATGCATGTACCCTTCTCTCTAACATGTTTCAAGCAAGAGTATTTAACTTATGAATAGGAATGACAACATATATTCCTGTGGAATTGGGGACCTCCTCCCATCCTATTCTCGTCAATGGTTGACAAGGGATAAAAGAAAGCTCCTTAATTCTCCCATTTTTGCTGGGAATGAGGGTCTTCAATTCGCAGGGATTCCCCATCCCACCAAACTTTAATAAAAAATGAAATATTTTTGCCAATCACAAAAACAAATAATCATTTTGAAACAAATAACAAGCTAGAGTGCAAAAATTCACACTATATCATAACTTAATTTTCCAACGCTTACAAACAAAAAAAAAACACCTAAATTTCAAACATAAAATAAATTTAGAATAGAAGGTTAAGTAACTAATAAAATAAAAAATAAATAAGTAATAAAGGTTATGTAAATGTGTTTCAAACTTAAAAATAAGTAATGAATTAAATTGGGTTGGTTTTATTATTATTATTATTATTTTATTATTATTTTAACTTTTTGTGGAGAATGGCATCCTCATGAACCCCATGAAATGGGAAAAATTCTACTTAAAATTTCGTTAAGGAAAGAATTTCCTTTATCCCTACCTTGCAGAAAAAAAATATTCCTCAAATTCCAAGTGCCATGACAGGAATTCCTATGATACCTCATGAGTTTCATGTAAATTGCCATCCTTGTGAAATACTTTTATTTCCGATCTCTATTTGAAACAACATCAATAACATTTTTTAAAGGAAAAGTTTCATAATAATTCTTGTGTAAGTTGAGAGGTTAGCTTTAGATGGCGTTTTTAAGCTTAAGGGGCTCCATTTTGGGCCGCACCCTGCGCCATGTGAATTTTTTCATCTTGCATTAACGCCCCAAGCTAAAGATTGACCCTTCCCAAAAAAAAAGTTTGGGGACTATTTTGTACCATAATGAAGATTATGGAATAAAAGTGTCTTATATTATAAAGGTTGAGGATTGTTCTAGAATTTACCTCAAGCCGATTTTGTTATGTCGTGCAAATGCAGTGCTGACAGAACTTAGTTTGATGTTGTTATTATTATTATTATTTTGTTTTTATTTAAAAAAAAACAAAAACAAAAACAAAAGGAAGAGGAGAAACTTATTATTTTTTTTTAACATATTTTACAAAGGACTGGGTTCGAATCCTAGCTCTGGAGAGGGGGAATGCACTATGAGTGGCTATTGCCACTTGACCCGAAGGGCTCGATGCAAGAGGAGAAACTTATTTAGGATTTTTGTTGCCTAATATTGCATTTGAATTCTTTTCCCCATGTTTAGTTGGCTAAAGAAATGTTTTTTTTTTTTATATATAACAATTTGTCAAGTGATAAGGTCAAAACCCGTTAAAAAAAAGAAAAATACACCTCAAGTTAATAAGATGT